TATTAGCTAATCATCTTACCTGCTGATTACCAGAAGCCCATTGTACAAAACTCATGTTAATAATTAGAGCGTCCGAGTATGCAGCGATGCTATTGTATGTTCCCACCTTGACCTGTCTTATTATACCATTTAAGTCTTTTTGCCAGTTTACAATATCGTAGACAGGAGGAGGATCTCCGTGTTCATCTAGGAACAAATCCCTTCCACTGATCAGCTTCAGTCTAACATTCTTCATGTAGTGGAACACCTGCAGGAGAAAAGTGACCCAAGCAATGGTTTTCATTCATCAAAATAGTCATTTTTTAGCATAGAATTTTAAGACATACTAAATAATATTTAAAAGTGGAGATGTTTGGATTTCTTTTGTAATGTTAGTCCATTTTATCTTTAGCCTTAATCATCTTTATATCTAATACTAGGTACTAAGGACATAATAAAGCCCAAAAGGACTTTAAAGGAAAACTATGGGGTTAAGTCTTTTCCCCATAGTTCTCCTTAGGGTAACTGGAGGACACAAACTAGCGTCCTCCCGTCACCCTAGGCTCAGTATACCGCGAGCTGTAGCTTGCGGTATACTGAGACGCCGCAGCTGAAGCGTATCCCAACAATTGTGCCGGGATCCGCCAAGCTGCGTGACTGACAGCTGGCTCTGCCTATCTAGAGGCAGAGCCAGCTGTACCCGCCCCCTCCCCCGTCTGTTCCGCCAGTCAGCGCTGGCGGATCGGAACGGGGAGGGGGGAATCCAGCCCCTCCCCCTGCCCCTCTGTACCCGCCCCCTCCCCCGTCTGTTCCGCCAGTCAGCGCTGGCGGATCGGAAGGGGGAGGGGGGAATCCAGCCCCTCCCCTGTCACGGCAGAGAGCCGTGACAGGATCGAGAGGTGAGCGAACGCTGGACAGGATCGAGAGGTGAGCGAACGTATGTGTTCGCTCACCTCCCGATCTACTGAGCCGACCTGTGACAGTCTCATTGTCACAGGTCGGCTAGAACTATGAGGTGAGTGAAAATCACCCACCTCATAGTTCTCCTTCAAAGGAGAACTATGAGGTGAGTGATTTTCATTCATGCTCATAGTTCGAGTGACAATGAAGCTGTCACACGTCGGCTCAATAGATCGGGAAGTGAGCGGACACATACCGTCGCTCACTCACTTCTCGATCCTGTCCCTGCAGAGAGCCGTGACTGTCACTTACGGCTCCCTGCAGGGATTCCCCCTTCCCGCTCTGATCCTCCAGCGCTGACTGGCAGAGCGGACGAGGGAGTGGGCGGGTACAGCTGTCGATCACGCAGCTGGGTGGATCTCGACAGTAATGTCGGGATCCATCCCATCTGCGGCGTTCTCAGTATACCGCGAGCTGTAGCCTGCAATATACTGAGATTTGGGTCATGGGAGAACGCTGGTTTGTGTCCTCCCGTGACCCTTAGGAGAACTATTGGGAAAAACACTGACCCCATAGTTCTCCTTTAAGTTTAAAGTTTGCAAAGTATTACTTTTTGTTTCCTTTAGAAACATCCATGTCCTAAGTGCAAAATCCTGTCCCCTGCAGTCATGCTGCAGAGAAGGACCGTTACTATCTGTGTGGAAGCAGTGGTCTCTCTGACACACTCCCCAAAATGTCAGGCCTATAGCTTTGCAATCAGCAAAGCTATTGCTCTCTGCTGCTTGAAGAGCTCTAGCTCTGGCTCAACAGGAGACTGTTCTCTTAAGACCTCCCAGGAGGCAGTAGTGAGGCACAGTGATGTCCTTGGTGTGTGAGGAAGTGGACGGAAGCTGTAGTTAGTTTTTATTTTTGGGCAAACAATTGTCAGAATAACAACAAGAAAGATTGTGATTTATATTGTAGTAGCCCTGAGAGAGCCAGAAAAAAATGCAGCTAGATTTCTTCCATGTATCTCTACGATTAATCCCCATAAGAGTGAAACATATTAGAGTGGGTATCCTTCAGGCAGGGAGTCTCAATGCACCTTGTCTAGTGGATTACTTTGTGAGCTTCAACTCTTCTTGTTACATTTTTTGTAACATAAAATATCTAAAAATATCCATCAGGGATGGTGGGAGCGCCCTTTGATGGGCACGACAAGTATTCTGACTGAGCAACACAGCATGTGAATCTCACCAATAGTCTCCGAGAGGTAAAAGAGACTTTCAGGTGGTTTAACTCTCAAAAAAACCCTTAAAGTATCAGTTTTGGACAGAATGACCTTCTAAAAGGGTCTATCTGTCTTTATCTGTTACAACATTTTATGTATCCTTTTAAACACAAGAGGACTAAGAAGGACTTTGAGCCTTTGGTCTGAGGACTAACAAAACAAACTTGTCCTTTCCTGGAAGGGACAGATTTCTCTGGCCTGGGAGGAAGTATACCATGTAAAGTGCGGCATGGTACTACCATGATTGGTGGGCATGGTGAAGGGTGGGTTTTGTCAAAGGCAGGTGTATTGTGACTCACCGTCATACCTCCCAGCATTGGCTTTTATTACATTTCTCATATTTGGTCACATGACAACTCAAACCAGCAAAGGAAGTCAGTGCTGGAAAACGTCCCCCTACCGGAAGCTGTGATTGCAGGTCTGAACAGCTATATAATACCCAGTAGCCCAGTCCTCCCCTAAAATAAAATGTGTGTAGTATATATTTTTAGTAAATCATATTACAGGAGCAGATCTTACTTGCCATGGCTTCACATTCCAAATGTCTGAGCAGCTGCCATTCAAAAAAGGTCCACTGCCATTTTGGCAGACATGCAAGTCATGCAAGCCTTTGGCAATCACATATACAGCACTGTAGAGGTTATAAAAGAGACGTAAGCTGGTGACATCACCCAAGCTTATCCGAACATTTTCAATGATATCATTATGGGTGCAATTTCTTGCAGGCCTTTCCCGGGTGAAGGTTATGTTTTTGTAATCTAAAAAAGTGCAGCCAGCCTTTTCCTCCCAGAACATCAAGTCCCACAGTTGTGATAACTCGGAGAACCGGATGTTTTCAATGAAATCACGGAAGCCTGGTATGTGTTCACTGTAATAAGCGAATCCCATTGTTCCAGTGAGATGTGTTGAGTATTTCTCAGAGGACAACATGGTCGAAGTTGCCCAACCTTCACTGGCCACCCAAGTCTTCTTGGTAACATTGTGAAGCAAAAGCTCCTCAAGCAGAGGAATGAGATCAACATCTGAAACAAATGTAACTATAGCATTAGCTCTGGAATTCTTGATAGTCTGGATGATGCGTGGAATGTTTTTGTCCGGCCGACTGTTTTGGATATACTCTATAAATGCCACACAGGCTCCCAATTTGATTAGTTCCTGCCTCACCCCCTGAATTCCTTGGTAGCCATAGTCATTAGAATCGGCAATCATTCCTACATAGGTCCATCCGAAATGCAGCACCAAATGTGCTAGTCCTTTAGACTGATAGGCATCGCTGGGAGCAGTGCGGAGGGAGAATGGAAACTGAGTCCGGTCACTGAGAAGGGAACTGGTGGATACATGACTAATCTGAAAATAAACGCACACATATATACAGGTATACATATATAATAAAGTAATATTTTGAATATGAAAAACATCTGTAAAGTTTATTTTGGAAATAGATAACTAGACAGTAAAATCCAACGTTCTCATTTCCCCACAATTTTAGAGAAATTTAGAAGATTCAATGAACATTTGCCATTTGTGCAAAAGGAATTAAAGTCAATTGACAACGTGAAATGGCAATTAACCCCTTCATGACTGAGGCCTTTTTTTTCCATTTTTTGCACTCATGTTATATTCCACATTTTAGACCTGAAATTTACTTAAAAGCCCCAAACGTTATATATTTTCTGAAAGCCAAGTCCCTATAAAATAAAATGGTGGCAGTTGGAAATTTTTATGTTGCACGATATTAGCGCAACTCTTTATCAAACCCCACAATTTAGTGAAAAATGTACTTAAATGCCCTAAAACACAATACAATACCCATTTTGAAAATAAAATATAAACGATGAGGTTACAATGAGTACATAGATACCCAACATGCCCAGGTTAAAAATTGTGTGCGTCCGTGAAACGGCAACAAACTTCAGTACCCCAAAAAGTCCATAGACGACGCTTTAAAAGCCCACTCAGGTCATCAATTTAGAGATATCCAAAAATACTGGCCCTAGAATTATTGCTCTCATTCCGGCGTGCGCGGCGATACCCAACATGTGTAGCGCGTTTGTCGTTTTCATACGTAGGCACACCCGACGCATGTTTACGTTGCGCCGCGCGTGCTCGCGGGGGACTTTAAAAACTTTTTTTATTATTTTTAGATTTATTTTACTTCATTTTAATTTTAGAAACTGTTTTTTTTTTTTTTTTTACTTTACTTTGATTGCTATCACATAGCCCCCCATGTGATAGCAGATAGTGGTGATAGGTACTCTTTAAGGTGATGCTGGGTGTCCAAAAGACCCCGACTGTCACCTCAACACTAGAAATAAGTGCAGATCGTAGGCTTCAGGAGCCCGGCACTGACAGCTATGGGACCGGAAGTGATGCAATCTGCATCGCTCCCGGTCCCATAGAACAAGGAGGGGATCGACGAACGGAGGTTCATCCATCTCCTCCCCAGCTCCCCGCTGACACCAGAGAAGCCAGTCCCGGGCCCGTAGGAGGGGCAACGGAGCCCGGGAAGCACGGCGGGGGGGTCGGGCTTGTGGGGGGGGCCCCTTCAACGGCCCATAGGACCCATCTGGCGACAGCTGAATCGCCAGAATCGCTTCTATTGTAAAGCTGACAGTCGGCTTTACAAGTTTAAACAGAGTCCCGGTGGCAAAAGCTGTTTAAACATGCCGATGCCAGCGGCGTACACTGCATGTCGTCAGTCGTAAAGGGGTTAAACCCAAATTATCCATATTTGGTCAAGAAACTATGAGGCGTGTGCTTTTCACTCACCTCATAGTTCTAGCCGACCTGTGACAATGAGACTGTCACAGGTCGGCTTTGGGGGGGGGGTACAGCTGGCTCTGCCTCTAGATAGGCAGAGCCAGCTGTCAGTCACATAGCTGGGCGGATCCAGACATAATTGTCGGGATCCGCTTAAGCTGCGGCATCTCTGTATACCGCGAGCAGTAGCTCGCGGTATACTGCGGCGTCTTAGTACAGTATACTGAGCCTAGGGTGACGGGAGGACGCTAGTTTGTGTCCTCCCATTACCCTAAGGAGAACTATGGGGAAAAGCCTTAACCCCATAGTTCTCCTTTAATAAGACTAGGCCTTTTATGACCCAAACTCAGGGCCAAGGTTGTTACAATTAGGACTGTTAACGCATATAGGTCTTTATCTAACAGCATCTAGAATGGCCTCAAAAATCAAAAGCAGGCACCTTTAGGTCTCCGTATGTACTATCATACACTATACTGTGCATCTTGGAGCCCTGGGAGTTCTAAAAATCCAAATCTTGACTGGCTGATCCTGCATCCCTCTAAAAGTTGAATGGGGATTTCCTGTTATATGTCTGCATGGTTTGACATTAAGGCCCCATTCACACCAGGGCGGTTGCGGATCAGCGCAATTTCTGTGCAGATTTTAAAAGGGCCGTTTTGGGAGTTTTTAAATTGCGTTTCAGTGCAATTGAAAGCAAAAAGGGTCAGGGAGCAATTTGGGCGGGGGTGTAGGGCGGTTCGGATCGGGGGGCTGATGTATGCGATGTATGGGATGTATGGGATCGTTCATGTCGACGGATCTGTGCGGCCAAACCGCCCTGGTGTGAACGCGGCCTTAGGATAGTCCTTCCCTCTGCCTTGCCGTTAGAAAAGAACCACAAGTATAGTAGGGGCAGCAGATTGAGCTAGGAGACAACTTGCTCCCTCAACCATCAGCAAAACAATTTTATCGATTGAAAAAAAAGCCCCAAAAAGGTGCTAGCCCCATCTTGTAAAAAATAAGATCTGCATACATAGGTGGAACTTTGAAGTATACAATCAAAGGTGTGATACTTTCATAAATGTTACTTTATTAAAACCCAGCACTCCTATTGGGCTACTGGCTAGGTTCATAAATAAAAAAATCATTTTGTAAGATTAACAAAACGTTATGCTTGATGTCTTTAGATATGTAATATTGCATTTGCCAGCAATTCCTGGCTGTCAAAATGACAGCAGTGAGTTGCAGTGCAGCTCTTATAGCCATTGCTTTAAAAACAACAGATCTTCTGACACAGCTTTTATCAACTCAGAAATATAATATATGCTCAGAAATGTGATATAAACTGTGTCAGAAGATCCGTTATTTTTAAAGTAATTGCTGTAAGAGCCATTTTTAAGATCTAACTTGTGTTTAGTGTCCCTTTAAGCAACAACATAGTTATAACTAGAGATGCACCGATACCGTTTTTTCGGTACAAGTACTGATACCGGTGCTTTTGCTGGCATGGAGCCGGCTTCCTGCGCAATCTGGTCGCCCGAGAAGCCGGCTCCATGTCATCTGGACAGCTTGATTGTGCTTGGCCGGGAAACCGGCTTTCCAGCTAATCAGCATCGAGCCGGCTTCCTGGCCAATCAGGAAGCCAGGCGACGAGTAATGACCTGCCTCCCAGCTTCCTAAATGGCCGGGAAACCGATTTGATGCTGATTGGCTGGAAAGCCAGCTTCCCAGCCAATGAGCAAGGAACCGGCTGTTCGTCTGGCTCGATGCTGATTGGCCGGGAAGCTGACATGGAGCTGTTCTGCCAATCAGGAAGTGGGGAGGCGGGTCATTACTCGCCGCCCAGCTTCCTGATCGCCCTGGAAGCTGGCTCCATGTTCCCCTTCCTCTGACCGTTCCGGTAATGGGGAAGGTATCGGAGCATTTGGGCGAGTACGAGTACTTGCCCAAATACTCGGCATTGGCACAGATACCGATACTAGTATCGGTGCATCCCTAGTTATAACCTAGCAAAAAGGCCCATAGCACATATATAACAATTGCTATGATCAATAACGGGGTATGCAGGTGTGAGAGCTGAAGCTGCAAAGCCCATTTAAAGTTACATGTCCATCCATCTAAGCCTACCCTGACCAGGGTGACAACGATGCTCTGCAAAATTACTGTGTAATGAAAAGCTTTGTGCCCATATGGCAGATCTACTGGCAGGAAGAAGTGATAATAAAACTATGTTACGGGGGGTGGGGGGGGGACACTTGTGTTAATGTTACAGTTCTACTTTGACAAGTGAGGGCTAAACACAAAGTCCAGTGATAGAGACACATGGAAGTCATCATTGATCCAGATTTATTAGGATTTCCTTCCAATACCATTCACCACTTTTGTGCCTAACAACTCTTCATTGATAATAGCTAAGACTTGGCTCGAGTGGTTATTGGATACATGGAGACCATCACATTGGTCCTTATAAGCCTTCTCCGGTTATCTCTGATACAAAGAAAGGAACCCCAGTTTAAACCAGGAACTTTCTTGTCAAATGATTATTCATCAATACATATTCTATACATACTTGCGGAATCTTGATCACCCTTAAAATATGAGCCATCAGCATAGAGAATGTAGAGGTAGTGTAGCCGATGATGGCAGCCAGCGGCTTCCTCTTTTGGCACTGGAAGTTGGGTATGGCTTTTTTCAGCCCAGTTATCATCCATAAGCTACCTTCTAACTCCTTCTGCAGCACCCGGCAGGAGTCATATATCTGGAAGCCAAGGCTCACATTGGGGAGCAGGGAAGGGTTGCTATTTATCTCTTCCATGGCAAATTTGATAGTCTGTAGCTGAAGATATTTTTCTAAAGGAAGACTGAAAGTAAAAGGAAGATGGAAAATTATATCAAATGTATTCTATAAAGATGTAAAAAATGAAAGACTTTACGACTGTAAGGAGAAGGGACACCACTGGCCTCTTAAATCAGTTAAAGCCGATTTGCTGGTAGAAAAAAAAAAATACTGTGTAACTGTTATGACTGTTTAAAGGATAAGTAATATTTGCATTCAAGCTTGGAAAGCATTGCAATTGTGATCACTTGATCGGGGCTGCAAAGCTCAGACTTCAGCACATTCTCTCCCACGCAGAGCTCGTACTGAGTTAGGGAGTTTTAGTTAGGAGAGATGGAGGAAGAATGGCTGGACTTCAAACTGCATGAAATCACCTCATACAGAGTCCAGCCGTCCTCACTCTAGGTAGAGCTGCCAATATTCCCGGATCTACCACAAGTGAGTTTACCCAACACACACACACATGGAGAGAATGTGCAGAAGCCTGAGCTCCGCAGCCCTGATCCAGTGATCACAATTGCAATGCTTTCCAGGCTTGAATGCAAATATTAAAGACATGCATATTTATTTATATAAAATATATGCATTTCTTTCATTTTTGTAAACGGTGAACTTATCCTTTAACTGTAATTGTTTAGGTCTGGGGGACCTATGTAAAGCACATTTACCCACCTGATCCCTGTTCCTATAAGCTCCAAGATCGGCACCCACAGCCTCTTCCTTCCTGCACACTGGTGGATAGGAGGCCCTTTGACTTTATCACATCTAATGCGGGGCCCATAGCTTTGCTTTATATGCAAGGACAGTCCAGAAGCTGGAGAAAGTGGTTCGTGCTGACTTCCGTGGGATCAGGTATTAGGTAAGTAAAAGACAAGACCAGTCACCCTGCACAAGGAGAGAGCAGCAGTGAGCGGTCTTTATTACAAGAAGGGGTGGAGACAAGACCAGTCACCCTGCAAAAGCAGAGAGAGCAGCAGTGAGTGGTCTGTATTACAGGAGGGGGGCGGAGACAAGACCAGTCACCCTGCACAAGGAGAGAGCAGCAGTGAGCGGTCTTTATTACCGGAGAGGGTTGAGACAAGACCAGTCACCCTGCACAAGAAGAGAGAGGAGCAGTGACTAGTCTTTATTACCGGAGAGGGTGGAGACAAGACCAGTCACACTGCACAAGAAGAGAGAGGAGCAGTGACCGGTCTATATTACAGGAGGGGGCGGAGAAAAGACCAGTCACCCTGCACAAGAAGAGAGAGCAGCAGTGACTGGTCTATATTACAGGAGGGGGCGGAGGCAAGACCAGTCATCCTGCACAAGAAGAGAGAGCAGCAGTGACCAGTCTTTATTACAGGAGGGGGCAGAGACAAGACCAGTCATCCAAGCCTCACACTCGATTACTGCACAGATCTGGAAGAAATACATAAAGCTCACCAAGATTCCAGGAAGAATACACAGGACTCTTGTATGAGGACAATATTTGCTTATCCCGGAGTTCAGCTTTAAACACTACTTTGAGAAATATAAATGTAGTAAAACGAGCATGTGATCATTTACTGTGCCATAGGAGAAAATGTACGTTAATAGAATGTCTTACTTCCTACAGATGACTTGGCCCGGCCTTTGTGTAAAGGTTAATTGGGGAAATTCCTTCTCTACGTGAAGGGTTAATACTGCTCCAGCCATGATATCCCCATTCCAGGTTATACCCGTCTGATCTGAAGCGTCCAAGGTGCATGCAGGTCCATGGGAAGACAATACCGGAATGATATAATACTGGACGACGTGCCAGAGCGACTTGTAGATAAATGTCATACACCTTATAACACAAACATATTGTTACCTTCATTACAGAGCACATACAGGGAAATAACAATAGTTTAGGGACCCGTTTGTTTTTGTTGCTTTCTTTGAAAAGTTTTTTTTTTTAATATTCAAAGTTTTATTAGATGGCAACATATAAAAATCCAAATACACAATACAAACATTACACATCCCCATACACACTGAGTGGCCAGTTTATTATGACCACCTGACGTTTGTAGGCAAATTAGCTATAATTTTGCGCTGAAGTTGCTAGAGGGCCAGACCGTTATAAATAGGGAAGCGGGTTGGTTACCACGACAGTAGAAGTGATTTGTTTCTGAAGATACGGGGAAACAACGCAATTTAACAGCCTTTGAACGTGGGATGATTGTTGGCGCTCGGAGCCATGGAGCGAGTATCAGCAAAACAGCAGAATTCGTTAAATGTTCAAGAGTAGCTGATTGTTAAAATGTTTAACCAGTTGACATCCGCGGTGTTAAACCCCCTTCCCATCCAGGCCATTTTTCAGTATTCAGCGCTGCGGTACTTTAACTGACATTTATTCCGTCATGCAGCGCTGTACTGAAATGAATTTTATACCCTTTTTTGGGGACAGATAGAGCTTTATTTCGGTGGTATTTAATCAC